CTCCAATCGCACTGGGCCGTCGAGAGGCACTGTTACCATGCCCCCGCCAGGTATGCTGTATCCCTGCCATGGCGCACATCATCGGGAAAGGAACACTGTCCAGGTCTTCCATTCATCCTCTTTCCATGCCTGCCTGTGACCCATGACTCCACAACTCCAGGCCCCCCCCGAACACACACACACAAAGACCAAGAGACACCTGTGGATGAAAGCACGTGCAACATCCCGCAACTCAAAGCCCACAATGTAGCCCCAATCCAACAAGCTCTTTCGCCGATGGCAACTCCCACAACACCTGTAGTTATGCGCCTTCCATTCGTCTGGCGGTCTCATTCGACCATGAGGGCGGCGGTTTGGAACGTTCCTAGGGCAACGGCGGAGCAACTAACAGTATAATAAATAAATGGGAGTCGTCTTGCAAGTTTGGGTAAGGCCTGGAACCCTGAGAAAAGAAAAACGCACACCGGACTTCTTTTTTCAACAATCTGGAGCGTGCGAGCTTGCTCCTCATTGCCAAAGGTGATGAATGCGCAGCTGCCACCAGCAGCATCGTTGACGAGCTTAGGAATGACTCACACCATCTTTCATGGCATGGTGATTGATGGACATTGGTTTCAGTCCTCAACTGCTGCCATTGGTTCACAAATCGAATAATTCTTGCCAAACCCACCACTGAGTCTCCCGGCAGAATCTCTCTCAGTGGCTCCGATGGGAGCTCCGGCACCTGCACCTGGGAGATGCCCCGGCGCTGCGCCATGAAGCCACGGAAGGCCACGGGCACTCCGTTGCGGCGGCCTTGGAGGGATGGATTCGGATGATGTCATGGATCGTATGGATCATCCATGATCATCAATGATAATCTATGATCCTTGATCCAAAGAAAGGAATGAGGTCTTCTTCTTCAAGGCAAGCGTGCCGGGTACTAAGGAACAGTTTGCTTCTCCGTGCATCCTTGTGCTCTTCCTAAAGCCGGGCCCGTGCTTTTTGGGATTTCAGAGCTGAGGCCCTAACCAAGGCGAAAAGCGGAATGTGAAGAGTATCCACAAGCGCGACATGTCGTGGAGAATTTGGAGCATGATGTATGTAGAATGTGACCTGCCTCTATTGCCTGGTTCGCCCTGACAGAAAGGTTCCCCGCTAAAGCTTCTTCTGCACCCTCCCATATTGCGAAGCAGGTGTGAAGGCTTCGGCCAAGGCACGAGATCTGGAAGAGGATGCTGGTAGTGCTTCCTCGACAGACTCCTGACATTTCGAAGAGTCTTACACTGACTTGGACAAATTCCACTTCAATTCTGGAACCGCAGCCTTGCTGGTTCATTTTGCTGGTTTTCAAGAGGTCTAGGTCTAGTGGCTTTCGCATTTTCCAACGTCCCATCCTCTTCAGCGTCCGGAGGGTCATCATCCTCTCTCGCTGCATCTTGAGCTGCCTCTCTGCCAGGGAGAATGCCGCAACTGCGAGGGGAGGCGCTTACCCACCATGAGGGTGGTAAAATAGGTCTCTAGGCGTCTAGGACCTAGGATTGTCCTTCCTGCTGGTGGAGTTCATGACAAAGCCAGGACTGAGTTTCTATGAGTGTCTGTAACCTGGCTGCTGACAGCTTTTGTGTCCTCCTCAGTGGCGTGGAGATCCTCGTCTGCAGCCCTCGTTGCGTCCGCTGCCTTTCAAGGGACAACTTCTCACTAGCAAGATCTGCTACGCACGAACTTGTCCTTGATGGATTGAATTTGATTGACCATGATCAGCATCATGAGCAGTGTCCTCACCAGTGTCCCTCTGGCTGCGTGTGCCTCGGCCGGTGCCTCTGCACCTGGTTGTGCAGCAGAGGCCGCTTGAAGGAGGTGCTGCTGCAGTTGGTTCCGCAAGAGGCGTTCCACCTGAAGGATGGCCCAAGTCGCGGACATTGGTTTCACAATCATCTCAGCATTCCTCATTTTTGCACCTGCAAGCTAAAGAGCTGGAAAAAGGACATGGCTTGAGGTTGGAGAATCGCAATGAATGCGCTTGGGGGTATCGAAACACACAAGGTCATGGCGTTGTGTATGGGTCGAGCTCAGCTATGTAAAGCCATGGTAGAAGTGCAGCAAGTGGTTGAAACGCAAGCTACGTGAATCGCCCCATCTTCAAAGACTTAATTAATATCGATGGCCTCCAACCTCCAGTAATAGGACTCAATATGACTCAATGATGGAACAAACATGAAACTGCCAAGGCACAGCTTTGCGCCTTTGCCGCTCCTCCGAGTCCCTCTGCTTGGCACGCAGCTGCAGGGTCTTCCACCTGGACTGCACAGAACCGCAGGACATTTCATGAGTTGCCGCGTCCTCGTAGATTTCCGCCAGAAAATTTATCAGCTCTTCCCTGCAGCAAGGTTCCTTGCTGCGCGTTCCTAGATCACTTCGTGAGTACCACCAACTCCCTAGTTTCCAGCTACTTACTTTCCTCCTACCCACTCTTCCAAAACAAGGACGAAAAAACACAACATCAAGATAGGGACCTGCCGTGCCAACACACATTCTCGAATCTTTCCGTTTCGCTCATCAAAGGTAAGGTGCTTCAATGCTGGCGGTGGGCCATCGAAAACGAAGACCTGAGGCAATTGCACGGGGGGCATGTCACTGGGCATGTCAAGGAGACAGTTGCAAACTCATAGACAGTCCGGTCCTTTCAATTTTGGACCCTTCACGAGAGAGCCGTGCACAGGGTAAATGGGGTACTGTGAATGCCTGATGTTTGGTGTCAATCGCGATCTTGACACAAACCTCACGATTTTCGCACTATCTTGCCCTTCGACTGTCTGCCATCTATCATTTTCTTCTACAGTATATAGTTGCAGCAGTGGACAAGCTTTACAAGTCTGAACACCCGGAAAATTCGTAGAAACATTGACATGTAGAAAACTCTTCAGCTGAACTTCCTCCTCAGCAATTACCTGCAAGACCCAGCGGCACCCACCAACAAAAGCACGATACCCATGCTCCATGGTTTAGTGGGCAATCCCTCTACTCAAAGCGAATGCGGCCCGGTTGACTTGCTGCTTGGACACTGGTCGGATCTTCAGGTACAACCTCGGTCTACTACTTGGTGGGGATATGTGGGACTCAAGCATAAAGGACTCGACTCAACGCCATCAATTGCGACATGTCAGGAAGCATCAAGTGAACACAACCAAACACTGAATCGAGAACGAGGGCAGGGAGACTAGAATATTCTGTGCTAAGCCGCGAGACTAGCAATATGATAGTATTGGCTACACAATGCATATGTCTATGTTGTTTTCTTGCCTTGACCGGCACACCACTTGCTGGCTCCTCATGTGGCATGTAGTTCAAAAGGTTGTTCTGAGTAGGCCAAAAGGCAGCTTGCAGATCCTCCGAAAGAAGCCAATCAAATGGGCACCCTTCACCATGTCACCTGCCAACATCAAACAGCACTATCGTGGGATTGCAAATCAGCCCTTTGGACTAGCAGTGGCGACTTTTTGGAGGAAATACGGCGTCTCATGTCTGCATCATCATGTCCTTCATATTCTTTCCAAGGTAATTAGGAGGGGGAGAAAGAGGCCGAAGAAGAGAGAGAAATTGGCCCTCTGGAGCTGTAATTAGGACGTGTCTTTTTCTTGAGGTGTAAGGTGCAAGTAGTATCTTCAGTAGTAGCACTTCCATCGGCTGCTGGACGTACTCTCTTCTCACGTTTCTTCTGCTTGGACGTGTTCTCTGCTTGGGCCACCTTTTTTTGGCATTGGAGAGCCCCCGCAGAATGATTGATATGATTGATTTGGTTCGCCAATGTTTAGGAAACTGAGGCAGTAGCTTCCTTACTGTATGAAACGATTCCTCATGGGAAACTGCCTTCCTTGCCCAAGACCTTTACCTGCACTCGCCGCTCTTTCTTCGTGAAGCGGGACTGTTTCTTGGGCCTTTGTCGTCTCGCATGGCTTTCCTCAGACATGTTGCAGGCAGCTTTAGAAACGTGTTTTTCAGCCAACAGTTGCTTCAAAGTCCCCGACCCAACTTCAAAATGGTTGACAGCTTGCTGGACGGCTTCTGGATCGGAGAACAAGTGATGGAATTTGCCGTTCGGGAGCATGAAAAGAAAATTCTGATGTGCAATTCAAGCCACAGGAAATGGTACATCCAAATGCTTGCCTGCAGTTGGTTGCAAGTGTTCACAACATTGCTGACTACTGCGTTACTATGCTCCTAGTCCTAGTGTTGAAAAATGTCGAGGGAAACTTATGAAGGCTTCGAGGATGGCATAGTCACGAGGGTCGACACTTGGGCCAAGCAACATCGACTGCCACCACTTTGTTTTCCAAGGCGGAGAAGTTCACTCTTTGCCCGGCAGGCGAAGCTAAATCCCAAAGACCTCGCGCATCTGCACTCGCCAAATGGCAGGCACATACAGTGGCACTTCAGTGCCACAACAAGATCAACAAGGCACATGAAGGATGCACAGAATCAGATGCCTTGAACTCCCATGGTGCTGCTGCAAGGGCTCCATCGGGAGTTTCAAGCAAAAGCTATGTACATCGAGTTTTGAAGCTATGGCAACAAATGGCAGGCCCCACTCGGCCGGCTGAGTTTGCTTTTGTATGCACTTTGTCTGAATCGAACATCTTGAGCACGGGGGCCTGGAGGAACACTTTCCACTTTCCCCATCTTAGTTTCTGTGTTGGTCAAGGCATTTTGTCATAATGAGTCGTATGTCTCTTCTAAAAATGCTGAACAGCAGGGCATCCGAGCCAAACAATGATGAGGCTCCGACAGCTGAAGGGCTTCTCGAAACTGTTCGAATAGATAGCACCCCATGGAAATTAATGCCTATGATTGAGGATGAATTAATGGACATTGGAGGCACACTGTTCTCAAACCTGCGTTTGCACCATTTCACCTGACGGACCATTGTGCGCATACCAGCTTGACTTCCAAAACAAGGTCTTTAAACAACCCTCTCTCAATGACTCAAGGGCCGTGGCACGGCGTGCGGCGGTGCTCCTCGCCTGGTGGATCTGCTTCCTAGGAAAATGGATTCTCTGTACTCAGCCAGCTCTTACATTCCACCAGATCTATCTAACAATGCTCCGCATAATAAGCCATCATTGGGACGAACCGGACCTTGGGCCTTTCTCTGTAAGCATAGTGGGAGGAAATGGCTTGCGGCTTGACCTTTGCATGGATATCTTGGCCATGCACGCACCAAGTCTGCAACATTCCTCCAAGCTGAACCTGCACGAAAAACTTTGCAGCACAGCTAGCTAGTGAGTCGAAAGCGCCGGGGTGGCGTGTTGCAGGGGTTTGAAACACTATGTTGCCGAGATGACAGCTTGTTTCTTTCATGCTCATGCACTTTTACTTGAACATGGTTGATTGAATCATGCTTGACAAACATCGACACGTGGCAACTCACATCAAAACCGATGTGCGCACACATCCTTCCTCTAAAATGGGCCTTCCTCTAAAATGGGATCGCAAACATATTCGCCGACTCGTGTCAAAACAACTGCACAGCCCGAGGGCCTGCACCAGCCACTTGGGAAGATGGTTGCTCCTAGAGCAACATGAAGTCAAAAGGGTGTTTTCATGTGTTTTCTTAAGAGGGGCTCTGCAACATTAGTACGAAGTGTCTAGATGGCCCCTAGATGACCAGCTTTGAGATCTTTGAGACTTTTAATTACAGTAAGTAGTAGTGAGGGCAAGTGTAAGGCAACATTTATATGCATCCCTGTTACATTCGAGTCAAGATAGCAAAACAGCGTCCAACAGCACAAACGAAGCACCTTCGGCGTTGTCACCCAAGCTGCCATCTCCATCCAAATACCTGGCGATTCATGATGATTCTTCCATATTCTTCCACATCTTCCACCGTAGATGGGGGTTGTGGGTGTTGATGGCTTCTCGTCTCCCCTTCTGTCAGTTTAGGTGCCTCTGGAACACGCAGACCCATGCTCGTCAAAGGTACACTATGACGGTCCAAAGGCGAGGATTTGGCTCATCCTTTGGGCTATCGAAATGGAAACCTGAGCAGCTGATCATGGCTCAAGCAAAGTTTCAAAGCGAATATCCCGAGCCCTTCTGCGTCCCTACTGGTAGCTACTGAAGTCTACCAACTTTTTCTTACAAGTACCTTCCTCTTCCTCTTCACCGCCACTGACGGCCTCCCCTCCAAAAGAACTAGGCAAATAAATAAGCAAATAAATAAAGAAACGGCATTTATAGTTTATGCATGACTAAACTCAAATACACAATCAATCTATTGTGTAAGGCCCTATCTCATTTAGACTACTGAAGTAGGAGGTCACGTCATAGTATCTCGTTCAGACTACTTCAGTGCCATCAAACAAGTATCTCGCTTCTGTGGGGGCCCTATCTCGTTCACCAGATAAAATTGATGTTGGACAAACGCATAGGGCATGCCGTAGACTAAGAAAGTAAAGAATAGAAAAGCGCGTGGTCCACCCTACGATCCGGATCCTGCCCTCACAGAATGTCACCGAGGTCCATGCCTTGAGAGCTCCCAGGCCTTGAATGGCTAAAGGCCCTCGCAAACCGACGCTCTCAGGAGCGAACCCAACACCCAAAACCGTACGTTCGTTCGAATGCACTTCTTCACTACCGAATCCACAAATGTGACTGTGGCATCACTAGGCAGTCGTTACTGACGAACGGCATGGCGAGCATCATGTCCTTATTTCCTCCACTTGAAACCCGGGGGTCAAAGTTTTATTCGGAAACTAAAAGGTGATCTTCGGACACTTTATGGTTTTCTTCGGAAACTAATCTTCGGAAACTACGCAGTTTTCTTCGGACACTTTACGGTTTTCTTCGGAAACTTTTCTGTGGAAACTAATCTTCGACAGCTCAAAAGTGATCTTCGGAAACTTTAAGGTTTTCTTCGGAAACTATTCTTCGGAAACCTGACGGTTTTCTTCAGAAACTAATGTTTGGAAACTACGAAGAGTCGAAGAGCAACATCGAGCCCGCACGAAAAAGTTTCCGCAAATAGTAAAATGGGCATCTGTAATAATCTGTATATACTATATACCGTAGCAGTGTAGCAGTCACAAGGTACGTCAATAACCCACCCACCCACCCACCCCCCAGTCCCCACCCACCCAGTGCTCCTTCATGCAATTTGGTTACAATATTGTAAAGGTTCTGAAGAATATGTTCAAAGCATGCACATACAGTAATAAGTTTCTGAAGATCGCGAAATAGTTTCTGAAGAGTAATTGCGGAAGAGTACGAAATAGTAGCGGAAGAAAAGTTTCAGAAGAATGAAGAGTTGCGGAATAGGAACTTTGTTCAAACCCGGGAATCCAGCCAAGAATTGGGCTCTGTACTACTGAGTTGCTGCATGTTACTAATGTACATGTCTTCTCCTTGAGCGGAAGCTAAGGTTGGCGCTCATAGAAACCAATCTGAAGGGGCTCGCTGCTGGCCTCCGGCATGAGGACAGCTGTATGCATGCCTCAGCATGAACAATATCATACAACATCCAATAACGTAAACATGAAAATCAGAAAACCGGGTCGGTGGGTCATGCTTCTTTTGGTGCTACTTATACCTACGCAGTCCTTAAAAAGGGTGCACAAACATCGACCGAAAAAGCAGCACCGAACAATGATGTTTGAGGTCTTGGCGCTTGATGATCTTCTCAAGTCGACGTTGCACCTCTTTGTCAACCTGCAAGGATGGTCAGGTGAACGTCGTTCAAAGGAAAGAATGGGTTCAACCATGTTCTAATATGTTCTACTGGACTCTTCTTGCGCTTCTTGTGCAAGTTACTTTCGCAACACGTTCGCGGCTTGTGTTTTGGCTTTCGCGCGCTGCATTCTGTGCTAAAACACTCCATTTGTTTTTTGTTTTTGGTGTGCGTGTGTGTTGCCTTTCGCAAAGGCATCTTACATTGCCCTCTCTTCCAAGTTTTGCATGGGAGGTTTGGGCCGCTTCCCAGTTGACTTGTTTGGTATCCTTCCCCGTTTGCGAGGGCTCAGTTGGTCCTTCAGACTTTGCTCCATTTTCGTTCATATCCTGAACAAATGGATGCAAATGGAACAAATGGGCACCGAAGGATGTTCCCCTGGTTCACGCAAGAACAGTAAGCACGGCAAAATCGAAAGGTGACATAGCGTGACACAGGCTTCTGCCTAGGGCCTTTGGGCAAAACCACCAACTAACTTTCTGATGGACATCCCACTCATCATTCAGAAGGCCCCGTGACATCCTGTGACCCTGTGCTTCCATCCAGACTTCCTCCAAGTCCTGGACCCAGTGTCTTGCCATACCACCTTCCTTGAAGATCTTGAAGCCTCACCATGCACATGCACACGCAGGCAGGTCAGGCTGACTAATCCACCATTTAGTGGCTGTCGTGCACACATCATTACACATCTCGTTCGCAAGGATGCTACTAGGGGCTGCTGGCCTTACTAATAGGAGCAAGGATGCTACTATGGGCTCCTGGCCATACTACTAGGAGCAAGGACGCTAGGGGCAACACTGAGAGACAGGCTTGGCGTCTCCTTCAACAAATCGAGCAAGGCTTGACATTCCTCCACACTGAGGAACTCCTAACAGACTTGGAGGAAAAGGAGAAATATGACATCTTTATTTTTTCTCTCTCGTTGAACCCATGATGTGAAGACTCGGACTTGCAAATTGGCGCAACGTCGCTTTTCTCGCGAGCCTACTGTTTCTTGGCAAAGTCCACGTTGTTGAACCCAGCCACATCGAACCAAATGGCATTGAAAAAACATCTAGGTGTCACTCAACCCAACTGTTGCAGCACTCCTCGATGACAAAGAGGCTTGGGGACTTTTGAGAAATACTGCGGGTCCAGCGCCTGAGGCAAAACAGTCAAAACATGTCAACACCCAGGACAGCCCTGGGTCCTAGGAAGCTCAGGTGAAATGTGCAGAAGAAAGCTGAGCATAGCTGCTACAGTATAGTCCATCCATTGACATTGAATGACATCGATCTAAACAAAAAGCAATGAGTGAGGGAAACTTTCGGAGACGAAGAACCATCATCTCCAGGGCACCTTTTTGAGCAAATATGAATGAACGCATGCCATGGGAAGACCCTACGCACGTCTTCCGCAAAGAAAACAGGATGTGAGGCGCTCACGTCTGCGACGCTGACATGGGCAAGCCATCAAAGCCTAACGCAAGGGCTGAAAGTGGCTGAATGAAAGGGGACAGTCGCGGCTGTTGTAGACTCTACGACAGAAAGACCGGTTTCGGTAGATGCACGGAAAGTCTTTGGGCAACTTTACAACCAGAATACTCTGAGTCTAACTTACCCTTCTAGCATTGAAACTGACTCAAAGAAATCATCAGTCTTACTCCTAGTGCAGCAGACATGAAGCAGTATACGGCCAGAGGTTTTTCTTTACCAGCTGGGCGTCCAGTGGAAAGTAGAGCTAGGACGACACTCAGCTCGGCACGGACATCAGGAGGGTGAACCAATCGCTGGTAGGGCTCATAGCCTCACATTCTGGCAACTTTGCAACGGCACCAATAGAAATAAATTTGCCCGCAAAGCATTCAATGCAATTTCTTGCCCTTTCTTTGTCGGGGAGTGGGCCCCAAACTGAGGCCATGGGTAGGAAGAAAAAGAAGCTAAGATCAGCTAAGCACATAAGATTCATACGATTGTATACGTAAGTAAGCTGTGCAGCAAACATAAAGCTAATGGTAGGACGCAGGATGAAGAATCTTAAAGAACCCATCGCATGATCGAAATGATTCCTAGGACTGCTGGTAGGCTTTGCGCTGCCCCGTGAACTAGAAGGGCTAGCTATGCGGGGCTAGTGCCAGTTTTGCATTAGAATCCGACTTTTGCAAGAGTACTGTTGTGCGTCGTTGCCACCCCGGTGGCAAGTCTGTTCAGCCAAGCAGCGAAACCAGCGTTGCGCAATCCACTTCTCGCCTGCATGTCCAACAATGATGCATTACCACACCGGGATTTCAAGATATTTCAGGTCACACATGTGCACCTCTTCGCACATGTCAGATCCTCTCCACCAAAGAAAGCCAGCCTATCCCACTTGATCATCAACCGGTTCAGCCAACACTAAACAAACCTTCCATTGCCAATCGTGTGGTGTAGGTATGAGTAGGTTCTTGCTGTTCTCAGCCCCTTCTTGGCCATTGAACGCTCAACAATGCATTGTTTCCAAGCAGAATGGTCGAATACAATATCCTTCGCCGGCGAACCACCCAAGCCAGCGAAAGTCCAGCGAACGCCTCTTTTCACCTGACATGCCGCGTGCTCGGCCATCATGTCGATCTCGCCGGCCTCCATAAATGGCCACAACATGTCCCACAAAACAGTGGTCCCAGCAGCCGAGTGGCTGATGGACTTTTTGTTTATTCTTCAAAGACTTGCTGATTTAATTCCGGACTTTCGCGGCTCACATGCTGTGCGGAACAAACTTGCTGACCCTGTCTATTCGGGCTCCAGGCCGTATCATGGTTGAAGAAAAGCACTGCACGCCCTTTCTTAGGCGATATTCGCAGCAAACCCTCTCTGTCCTCAGTTTTGTCAGCAAACTCAAACAATTGTTACATTACATGTTACACATGAGCTTCCGTGGAATCGGTTGATTTTCGGGAAGGGCGGTCTCCCCAGTTAAGAAGCTTGAAGCCAGAAGGCGCGAAGGTGAATTTGCGTTGGAATGCTCTGAAGAATCAGCACCAAAAGCCATGGGTTATGCCACCGCAAGCTTTCTGATCGTGTAGTCTATAGTGTCCAACCACGCACGTGCGCCAGTTCATGCCATTTCTCTTCAGCAGCCAAAGCATTCCAAAAGAGCCAGAATGAATCCCCTTTCGATCACCCTCGGCAGCGCCTGAGCTCCAGACGCAGCAATTCTGGATCCCAAACCTACGGCACAGAATGTTGGCAATGCTTCGAAGCCCGTCTCTGGCCATGAACCTTCCAAAAGGACCTCGTTGGTATGTATGTGGCACTATGTGCTGCACTATGTTTCTCTTTGTCTTTCAACGAACTCCAGCCAGCTATTTCTGCCACGGACGAAGGCTACCAAACTTTCACGGCATGTCTGTGTGGCTTAGGGGCTTCATAAGTCTGTCCTCTCCCCTCCAGCAGTCTAGAGACGCATTGAGACGATTTGACAAGCATTCGTCTCAGCTCTGATTGTTCGGATGCTGCCGTGACTTGAAATGACACATCCCCAAGAGCTTTCATAGTGCGCATTTAAATCGTTGACAGCCAGGAGGCTTTTGCTTCCCTTCAGCATCTTGTCTCCATCTCATTGTGCACTCGGCCCGGCTTCCTTGGCCAACATGCTGCAGGACATCAGCAAATCCACTTGTCATGCTGAGTTGAGAGGAGCATGGTTGAACTACGTATGTTGAACCTTCAAGATTGAAGCCCCAGCTGAGTCTCAGCCAAGCTGCCAAGAGGAAAGAGTGTTTCGCCTCCTTCGTCCACGTCATTCAAGTACCTGCCGGTGAGTCTCCGATAGAAACGGCACAGCACTAGGTCCAGGGCGTTTGCAGTGCAAGCTTTTGATCACCCCTGACAGTTGAGGCCAGCACACGATGAGTGTTGCCGGTCCTTGGTTCAAGCTTGCATGTCCCTAGGACTGAGGCAAACGATAAATCTGGCCTAGTATATATACAACTAGTAGCCAGTAGCTAGAAGCTACTAGTAACAAGGGCATCGCGGCTACTAGTAACAAGGTATATAAGGGTATAGGTGAATGCCACTATTCTCAACTTCCCAACAAGCCGGTGATCATGCTGAGCTCAAGTCGTGCAACGCCGTTCCTGAACTCCCAGCAGGATAATATTGACATAGCACAAATGTGCAAAACTTGCCCTGTACCGACCCAATGGGACAAGTATGCATTGGGATGTACCTTCTGCTTAGGCACCACAGAAATGACCAAAATGCCCGAATGCCCCTCACAATTTCTAATACTTGAGTGGGACAGTCTTTTGGAAACAGTGACAGTCACAGTAGTCAGCAAAGGCTCTTAGGATCCGAATCTGGATGCACCTCATATTTCTCATCAATGCCTTGGACCGGTCTGGTCTTCAAATCGGAATTGACACAAAAAGGCTTACGCAAGCAACATGGGCACCGGAGTTTCGAACATTCCTTTCTTGTTGACAACATGCAAAGCAACCGCCTAGCCTCCTAGCCCACGCCAGCCCTGAGCTCGTGGCCATAGAGGCCTGCAAGGAGAACAACCATCTAGAACAGCTTTGCCTTGCCTGCTCCCCATTTGCCGCAAACAGTCTCGCTAGACAATGTGCAGTTATATAATTGAAAGATGTGAAAGCAAGTACGTTGCACAACATCTCACTGAACACCAAACCGAAAGTCCGCTGGAATGCTTCGTTGGAATCCTAGACTTGCTTGCAGGAGCAGGTGCTTGGCCAGCTTGTGTCCACCGTGCCAATGCGTGTCATCCGTGCCCGAGCTGCATGTGTGTTGAGTTGGCAGGTGTTGAATGCACATGCCAATCGGCAGCCACCATGGCAAAGTCCAGCAGCGAAGTTCAGCCACATTGGGATGATTAATTAGGATTCAAATGGGTTCAAATTGCCCTAAATCAATGGCGCTGAAATCAGTACTGTCCCATCCAGCCTATCTGTAGGGCCTCGGCATCATCATCAGGAATGCGGGCTGCTCGATGCATCCGCTTGAGGATGTGGGAGATCACCTGGAGGACTCAGTGCTTTGATGCGCAAGCGGACACATGTCGAATTCTCTCAGGATCTGACAGGAGTATCTCTCTCCTCTGCATAGCCAAGCCAAATTTGCTGATTGTTTCGGACATTGACCTGGCTGCAAGCATTTGAAGATTGACACCAGAACGCAATCACAACATTCGCTAAACCAAGAATTGAATTCAAACTCAGAATTGCCAACTTCGACACGAATTCAGCACTGCTCAACTTACAAGCCAATTCAAGCACCCATTGCTCCTCTGGGTTCCACCTGTTGGTCATACTTGTTCTCTTCTCTCTCCACGACTTTGGCCGGCTGCAAGCGGCCAGCCACCTGATGGGTTCTGGCGCAACTCCCTCGTTCAACAACAACTGAAAGCTTGGCCGGTATGTTCACGTGTCAGATTGCAGTGCAGGATGCCTGGAAATAAACCTTGGCCCTGAACATCTTGCACAAAGGCTGAGGGATGCTAAAGCCTAAAGTCAGTTCACAACCATCTTGGCCAAAACTGTACAGTATTGGTACATGACCTGACCACCTTGGGTAAAAGGTTTATGTGCATGATGGCAGAGATCCACTGGCAGCAAACTGAACTTGAGAATTTGGTGCGCGACGCTAATTTCAGTTACTAATTCACATCACGATTCACATCATATATACAAATACGCGCGCCTCGTGCAGAAAACAGCTGCTACCAAGTACTACTTTGATATACTTTGATGGTTTACCATTCGGAAAAATTGGGCACACACATGTAGCTAGACAGCCGTTGCGCAACAGTCTTGTTCGGATTGATGACCATGGCCACCGGGGCTCGTCATGGCCGGGCTTTGACAATTTCAACCCTTGGCTGACGATCGACGTGAACCTTGTCGTTGCTGCTGTCGGCGTCGCCCCCTTGACCATGAGAGCGTTGTTGCGCAGTTACCATCACCCCTATCACCACTGATTGAACTATATTGAATCAAGATCCCTAGTCAATCCTTCACGGATGGTAGTAGTTGTTCCTCCCACAGGTGCGGTATACATACCTGCCCAATTTACTTTTGCTACTCTCCTGCCTGGTGTTGACCAAACTTCCCAACGTGCAAAACTCATCAAAACTCTACGCAGCTTTGTTGGCCCTACTGGTTACAGCCGGAGATGTAGTGATCGCTTCCGACTGTCAAAATGTTGTCGCTGGTCCGCAATCATGTTCATGACCGGTCCAGCCGAGTTGAAATGGTCAAAATAACGGCCCACTACCGTGTTGGTGATTTGCAGCAGCCGGATTACTGGACCCGTGGACACTCTGAGGCCGACACGCTAGCAAAATGTTGCGCCGAAGAGTGTTGGGAATCTTGCCAGCTTGAGCGAGACGATGCCCACTCAAGCACTCGACTTACTTTGCGCCGACGGTTATCGACAGCATTGCCAAACGACAGTCGGAGTTGCATTCGAAGAGGGCACGATGTCCCCTCATCTTTCCAGATCCTACAAGTGCAACTGTTTCCCCCGAATCCGTTTGCGCAGGAAACCAAATGCTTGTACATTTCCGTCTCAACTGTACATATTGTACTTTCCGTAGTCACGCTTGCGTGCGCAAATCTGCCCTGGGATGGGTTTGGAAGTTGCAAGCAGTGCAAAGCACATGTCTACATTCTTGTCATCGTCGTGAACCACCTGAGGATACCGAAATGCGCCGTTATGCACCGTTTGCGATCGATTTCCGCCTTGACATTGCAGCGGGGCCAGTTAAGCTGGGTTCTTGAGTGGGCAACTAGGTCCACGGCGGATATTATTATTATGCCGTGTGTCAAATCGAAGGTGGCATTGTCAACATGTTTGTTTTCCATTGTCTTTGACAGTGCCAGGCACAGATTTCATGGGAGCCCTGATTTTATTCACAATTATATATTTCCATTGGTGTTAGGATGTGGAACCTCCTGGCCACTGCGTTTTATGTCAGGAAACGTGGTTTGGAAAACCCGGGAAGTACTCTCAACTTGCATTGAAGACATCCAGTAACATGTATATCCGCAAACCTAAGTTTCTGGCCAAGTAGATCTTGACAAATTATGTCTCAAGCAATAGGTTGGTAGTCTCTCCTTCCTACCGAACTACAGCACTTGATGGTCAAGGACAAATCCGCCCCGCCGAGTTTCAAGCAAGTTTCACTTCTGCAGGACGATCAGTATTGCAGCAACTCTTGTGGATTCACAGGCCCAAGGCATTGCCTCCACTGCCACTGTTCATGTCTCCTTCGCGCTAAACTCAACTCCTTAACCTATGGTTCAACGTAAAACTTGGACCGATATCGAAAACGGATCGAAAACAAACGTTATTATTCCCCCACCCATCCCGCAGGGGGTTGGTGCTGATGAGGATTGAAACCACACGGAGCGATATCAGCCATGGGCCAACTACATGACTGACCACGGGAATGATCCAATCTTGCTCGCATTGTGGGCAGAAGCGGTTCGCTGCCTGTTCCTTCAAGAAGTTGCACTCCTCAAAACTCAAGAAGTCATCTCGCACCTGAGGCATCACAACTCGAATGGGATGGAGCCCTGGGCCCGGTGTACACATTTTTTGTTTCTGGGCGAATGGACACAGACTTTGATGCCATTGTGGCACTGGTGCCTTTTTGGTACCAAGTCGCTGCATCGGATTCGTTCTTCAACGTCGATATGTGCTTCCGTCTGAGGCTTGCACGAAGATGCGCGGGAACTCTGACACAACCTGCGGCTGTTTATTATGTTTATGTTATGCATGGCTCTCTTGGAAAGCCACATGGGCCTTGCCTCCCACTCAGCCTCTGATCTTGCAGGCAACTGTGACAAGGCCCGCGAAAACCTCGGCAGGGCATGCACATGTGCCTGTGTTGGCCTGTTGGCTGACAGATGTCGAATAAATGAGTTCTTTGCGATCGATCATGCCAATCCGAAAACCTTCGTAATTGCAGCACAACGTGCCATCGAGACGTCGCCTTCCATTTTTTGAGGAACTTAGATGAGAAGCAAACAGCCCTGCTGGGAGAAGCACGACGCCCCAAACAACGCACTGGTGTTTGATAACATATAAGATAAGAGTCATGACAACACGAAATGGACGAGTCTTGATGAATTTCGTGGGCTTGCAGTGGCGTCAATTTTGGAGCCGTACCACCACCACATACATCTTCATACATCCTATCTCTGATGCGTACACTCCTGAGACTCCTTGGCTTGACACCCTGATCCGGAGCATTTTTGACATCAAGATCTGTTTCTATACAGCGACAGGCGGTGTCATAAAGTAGGTTGGTTGGGCTGCAATTTGATGCGTTTGTCAATATTGGGGACACGAGCCGCTCACACAGCAACTTTGACTTTGACCCCTGGAAGGGGCACTGCAGTGGTTTGGTACTGGCTATTGACCACAAAGCCATCAGTGTGTTTGTATAAGTACATGTGTTTACACTTGATGGGTGCCGACAACTCAAAACTGTTAGGTTGTCTAGGACAGTTTAGGCTCCAGGCTGGCTGGGCGCATCTGTCCATTCAGAAGTCAGTGTGGAAGCCTGGCCTGGACAAATTCGGTTGCAGTATTCCTCCCATCTTAAGACCCAAACAACAGGATCATTGAGCGGATATTCCTCTTCACTTTACTTTACTTTTTAATCAGCATTCTTGCACTCCAGTTTGGTGATTCACTATTCTACACCAACCGGCCAACCGAACAATTTGGCAATCAAGGGCGGGGTATGTTCTTCATTCCATCTTTAGTCCATCAGACCAAGGTTCCAAACGAGAACTCCCTCGACATCGCGGCATATCTGCCTTCTTGGGCTGCCCCTTCCGAACGCTGCCAAGCAGGTTGCCACAGGCCAAGGGCAAATGCAAGAAGAGGCACCGGAAGTATGAACATCCAGATCCATCGGCCTAGAGAAGCACGTGAAAAGCACCATGGGATCGAGCTGTATATAGTGAGGGGACACATGATGTGCCACATGTCAATGCCGTGGCTGCAACAAGCCAGCAAACAGGACCAACAAATGATGAATGGACTCATGAGGATTCAAGTGAGCTACTATGAACATCTATGAACAAGAAGCTACTAGGGGCTCCTGGCATCGCTACTAGGGCCTCCTGGGATCGCTACGAGGGGCTCCTGGCCTTACTACTAGGAACAAGGACGCTACTAGGGGCTCCTGGCCTTACTACTAGGAACAAGGACGCTAAGGAGTTAAGGAAGAATAGAGCACCCTGCGATACCCTGCGCCTCCTGACTGCTGAGCCGGTGCAGGCCCCTCCTGCGGGATATGACGATCTTCCAATGCCCGTCGACTCCACAGCTGTTCAGCGACAAGTGTCAGTCTCTAACAATCTAGAAGCAACCTAATAGCAATGCCCTCCAGCCTAATAGCGATGGCCTCCAACCCAATAGCGATGGCCGTCAACCTAATAGCGATGACTTCCAACCTAATAGCGAACCTTATGGCGATGACTTCCAACCCAACAGCGATGGCCTCCAACCTGATAGCAATGCCCTCCAGCCCAATAGCGATGGCCGTCAACCTTATAGTGATGGCTTCAAATCTAATAGCAATGGCCTCCAAGCTAGTAGCCATGGCCTCGCCTCCAACCTAAAAGCAATGCCCTCCAGCCTAATAGCGATGACCTCCAACCCAATAGCGATGGCATTCAACCTTATAGCGATGATTCCAACCTAATTGCGGTGGCCTCCAACCACCTAATAGCGATGGCCTCCAACCTAGTAGCGATGGCCTCCAACCATAAAGCGATGACTTCCAACGTAATAGCGGTGGCCTACAACCTAATAGCGATGGCCATAGCGATCGCCTTCAACCTTATAGCGGCCACTACCAACCTAAAAGCGATGGCTTCCAACCTAATAGCGATGGCCTCCACTTTTCCGCTTTTCCGCAAGATACTGGCACCGCAGCTTGTGGCGGGGGTGACCAGAAACGTGAGCGGCTGCATGTTACAGCACAATGTCCTCGATGTCAAGGCCTCGAACGAAGGCGGGGCGAAATTGGAGGAGGAACTTTTCGAGAGCTTGGAATCTGGATGCATCAGCTCGGATACAAATGCAGTGGGCCCAGAAAGTCGTGACTTTCGAGGAGGGCCGTGCATAGCATGAGGACAGCGGGATAGATTCCAATTTGTGAATCCTCAACAGCAGTAGACGAAACCACTTTACTCGAAGTACCAACGCATGACCGTTGGCTTCATGGCGGTCCATCCAGCTCCACTTCTTATATTGATTGGAGGGTTTGGCACCTCCTAAGTTGGTACGGAGCGCGAAATCTATGTAGAGATACAGCCACGGCAAAAACCGGATTTCTGCATCAGGATCTATCAGGGTGCGGGACCATTCGGAAAGGGCCGACCATGCGGCGCCTACCAACTTCGAAGTTGCCAGTTGCGGATATGCCGGTAGCGGGCCAATGGTCGCCTCAGTGAGCGGCAGAGGATACTGTTCAGTGGGCACATCAATGGGCACCATGCGGGCTTCCTTAAGCACTGCTGCTGCACTGACTTGGAGGATGGTGTCATGAATTTTGTCACGCAGGGCGCGGGAGGCACCAATGGCCGCAACCGCTTTTTGCCAGAGCAGAAACACTTGATGGGGGTATCTCACGCTCATCTGTGCACAGAAATCTGCATGACTATTCCCTGTGAATGCCCAGATTTCGACCGGATCGGCCCCTTCAAGTTTCTGATGGCTGGCAATTTTGTGTACTTGAACACATCCAGCAGGCAGTGAACGAGCTAACGCTAGCAGGGGGTCCCACAGGTCCGCATCTTTGCGCGGAGGCTGACAGTTGTCAGGGGCACTGAGGGCTCGAGAAGTACATGGCAGGGGCCTGGGCGATGGAGCATTTCCCTCCAGTTATTCAGGATGTTATCAATTAACGAACACACTTTCTCGAGATCTGCATGTCGGCGGAAGGTGTGAACCGTCTGCAGCAGGGCATGGCACTCCGGATCTGTCAGGGGATGTTCGACAAGGGACAGGTGCACCATAGGACTAATACCGGGTGCATGCACCTTCAGACCACGGCATGCACCGGTTCGGAGCGATCTGAAGTGAACCTCTCCCAAGCTTGCGGCCGTGCAGCCGCTCAGGGCTTGCGGCCATCCCTTGATTTTGAGTGCATTGACTTTTTGCCTGTATGGCGCCGGAGAACGTGCTAGCGCAAGCCACACGGGGGGCATGGCAGCTATCCTTTTACATAAAACATGGTTGGTGGTGCGTTTGCCATACTCCATATGTGCCCCCAGATCTCTAGTGGACGAAAGCAAGGGGAGTGCTTGATCACGGGCAGCAGCACGATCAACTGCGTCGGTAGACCAAAAGTAGGTCTTAGCTTGGTCAATTTGGAGGTCAAGCAGCTCACAGAAAGTTGTCATCAGGCTCAAGCCTTGTTCGGCGGTGCTAATGTCTGGTGCCGTGAGCTCAAGGTTGTCAACATATGACCAAAGCCTTACCGATGGGTGGCGAATGCGGAGCCACCTTGTGAGGGTGATGTTACACAACAGCATTGCTGTGCAGCTGAGTCCACACCCTTCTGCAAACCCCGTGGTGGAGGACAGCTGGGGGCCTATGGTGCCGCGGACGCTAAAGGCTCGTGTCATCTGTCCGAGCGCCGCATTCCAGGCCCGGATGATCGGCTTTGGTAATCCGAGATGGAGGCCTATCGCAAGCAGGGGAATTCTTGGCAGTAAATTAAACGCCTTGACTAAATCGGCGACAACTCCGGCTAATGGCACACTATCAAGGTGGGCTTCTTCAAGATGAACTTGTACGCTCAGCCACAAATCGGTGCATGACTTACCCGGGACATTGCCTGTGATTAGATCAGGAACGTACTTCCCCAGGAATGCGAGGGTTTCCCGTGCACGAATGGATGACCATGTTCGGTAAACTATCGAAAAAACCGTGAGCGGGCGATATTGGCTTGCCCTCCATGCACCTGGGATCTTCTCTAATGCATGGACATGACCTGTGACGACTTGAGCCGGCCAGGCGGATGTGCCTGTCTCAACTGCTTGCAAAGTGGCAAGGATCGGCTCTACATGGCTACGAGGCAATGCAAGCAAATCCTGCTTGGACACTCCATCTGGACCGATGGCGGCGCAGGCTTTCTTTTTCCGGACGGCATCTTGCCAAGTGTCAAATGTGATTGGGGTGTATTGCATCTGTGGCGGATCAGGAAACACATGTTGCACGAAATCAACAATGGGCTCCCATTTGGTGTCAGGGGTGTTCCGGTGTCGATCCCATCTGGCCATCCATTCCTTTTGGAATGCGGCATAGATTTCTTCAAGATCGGTGACTGGGCTTGACTGCGCAATGCTGTCGCCCTCTTGGAGGGGTGGCATGTGCTGGAGCCACAACTTGTCGGTGTCGTAGTGAATGACTGACAGAGGCTTTCCATCATGTTCGATGGGCTGATCGTGCTCGAATGCATTTGCAGTATCAAGAACTACGGCATTATCCTCTAAATCAATCGAAGTGATGGTGGCAATTGTGTGTGCAAGCAAGGACTGGACCGGTTCAGGCCGTGCGGCCGCAAGGTCACGAAAAATGCGATGCGGGTTGTCCAGTCGGTCCTGTTTGGCTTTCTGGGCGCGCGTTTTCCACAGAAGTTGTTCAAGGTGGGCTAGGTCCTTATGGAAGTCCAGAGCCAATAGGCCCGCGAGGTCCCCGTCAGGGGGCACACATGGCAAACTATCAGGCAAACCTGGAATGTGTTTGGCTTTCTGGCTCCACCATTGCTCAAAAGTCGGCCGGAAGCCTGTGGCTCTACGGATTGCACGCCATTGGCCCAACTTACGTTCAATCCAGTGACCATTGGGGACGTGACCTGAGTGATGCATCTGTGCCAGTGTTTGGAGTCGTCTGAGCTGTTTGACCCAATGTGTGTGGAGGTTGTTTTGACCATGAAATGTCGGAGTGAAACTGCCTGGTCGTGATGGCCGCAGCGGGACAAAGCGTTCAGTGATCCAAGAACGTGTCAAGGTTGCTCCACGACCGGTTTGAGACCCATGGAGGTTTTGTCCCTGGTTGCGGGCCTGGGTGACCATCTGTGATTCAAAGGATCTCCAAACAGCTCGATACTTAGCATCAGCATTCGTGGAGTGGGAGGATGGGAGATCTGACTCTGCTGGCTCCATCTGTACCGGGTCGAGGGGATGTGCTCCAGTTGGCATGAGTTGGGACCAGTCTATTGGACGTGGTTGTTTCCAGATTGGGACCCGAAGTGTGGGGGCATGATCGTGGAGAACCGCATAGACAACAGAGTGGCTTGCAACCCAATCTGACTCCACATGCACTTCGGTCACCAGTGGGCACAGTTCAGGACTTAAGAACAACAGGTCTTTGGTGTGCTTGTTTTGAATGGTCGGCTCAATATGCTGACCGAATTTGCGGTATGCAAGGTGTTGAACCTCTTCCCAACCTTGACTCAGCAGTGTTTGGGCATTGGGAAGTTCATCAATGAAATGATTGAAGTCCCCACCAATAAACCTGGGCCCTTTGGCTCCGCAGTGAATGCGATCGACGACATGCGAGAGGAGGGCATTGTTCTGCTCTCTGGTTTGGAGGCCGGTGCTCTGAAAGGCATTGCCGTAAAACACCCCTCCCTGAATCCACTGTTGTCCAAACTGAAAACCTGCCACATGGCACCGTTGTTGTTGGACGATCTCTGGCGGCCACGAATGCATGAGGTGGCGGCCAGGTGTGCTCGCAAGAAAACCTACCCCCCTTTCCTTCCCTCGAACTGAAAGATAGGATTGAGTGGTGGACTTGGGAGGAACATACTCCCCGTGGAGGAGCTTGTATGGACTACGAGTACATTGGAGTGCTCGACGAAATTGTGTACCCCCGTCTGGTGTGAGGTGTGTTTCGGATACGAGCCATATGGTACCTTGCGTCCCTTGGGGAAGCGAATTAATGATTTCTGCCTTGTGCAGCAAGCCGGTTGGATTTATCAGACCAATGAGAAAGCCCGGAATTTTATTACCCAAATTGGAAACAGGGGGCCCCGGGTGTCTGGCTTCCCCATATCTAAAAACAGTGTGAACAAACACTACGAAGCATCGCAACGAACTTTTGCCGCGACTTTGGATGGTCTGGCGCCGGATGCGCAGGAAGGCATAGATGTTTTGGCAGTAGAGATCTCTATGTCGGATCTGTTCGCGGATCTTGCCACCGCGAGCTGACTGCACCCCTGAATTGACCAGTGACATGGACTGATGGCTTTGCTTCGAAAGACACCTATGCACTGGTGACGTGCAAACCCCTAAGCAGTGAGCAACAGATAGTCACTCGTGCAACCCCTAGCAGCGGCCTCCAACCTAAGAGCGATGGCGTCCAACCTACTAGCAGTGGCCTCCAACCTAAGAGCACGGGCCTCCAACCTACTAGCTATGGCCTCCAACCTAGTAGCGATGGCCTCCAACCTAATAGCGATGGCCTTCAACCTTATAGCGATGACTTCCAACCTAATAGTGATGGCCTCCAACCTGTAATAGCGATTGCCTTCAACCTTGTTGCGATTACTTCCAACCTAAAAGCGATGGACTCCAACCTGATAGCGATGGCCTCCAGCCTAATAGCGATGGCCTCCAACCTAATAGCGATGGCCTCCACCCTAGTAGCGATGGCCTCCAACCCAATAGCAATGGCCGCCAACCCAATAGGGATGGCCTTCAGCCTTTTAGCTAGCGATGACTTCCAATCTAATAGCAATGGCTTCCAACCTCATAGCGATGCCCTGCAGCCTAATGGCGATGGCCTCCAACCTAATAGCCATGGCCTCCAAGCTATTAGCAATGACCTTCAACCTAATATATAGCGATGGCCTCCAACCTAATAGCGCTGGCCTCCAACCAATTAGCGATGACCCTCCGACCTAACAGCGATGGCCTCAAACCAAATAGCGATGACCTTCAGCCTAATAGCGATGGCCTCCAACCTATTAGTGATGACCCTCAACCTAATAGCAATGGCCTCCAACCTAATAGCGATGGCCTCCAACTTTTTTTGTGATGGCCTTCAACCTAATAGTGATTGCCTCCAACCTAATAGTGATGGCCTTCAACGTAATAGTGATGGCCTTCAACCTAATAGCGATGGCCTCCAACCTAATAGTGATGGCCTCCAACCTATTAGTGATGACCTTCAACCTAAGAGCAATGGCCTCCAACCTAATAGCGCTGGCCTCCAACCTAATGTCAAAGACATATTGACAATTAAATGAACAGCTGAAACCACAACCGATGTGGAGTCTATGGTTCAACTCCTGGGAGCTCTCCATGGCTGAGCAAAGCCCATCGGCTTTTGCACATCAGGTGCTTTATTGTGCTTTGATTATTGCTGGTGCTGATGCACACCCATGTGGGGGAACATTATGCATAGGTGTGTCATCTTGCTCCCCGGGAGCTTTGTTGATCCCCTTCCTGAAAGTTATTGTTCTAATTCTAATTGTTGTTTCTATTAGCAAACATTGTTCCTAGTAGTAAGGCCAGGAGCGCCTAGTAGCTGCTTGTTACTAGTATATAGTAAGAATGCTACTAGTAAACCAGTACAGTAGTGATGCCAGGAGCCCCTAGTAGCGTCGTTGCTGTAAAGAGTGTTGGGCATGTGGTCTTTTTCGAGCTACCCACCCCATCGGTGCTCAATGGGTCACAAGCACCCATGAATGTGCAAAGACTTTGCTTGTGAGCCAGCTTTCTAAAGTCACGTTCAGAAATCTATACAGTTGGCTGCCTGACAGAACTTCCTCTACACCGGCGGGCCACAAGAAGCAGAACAAAAACTTCTATCCTTCAAGCAGTGAAGAGCCCCACAGTTTTCTCACTTGGGCTGACTGGTGTCTTTGAATCCGAGGTACACTTGCCGTAAATCACACCTACTGCATGGACTTGTTGGGTCTCTTGCCTCTCAGCACTGTAGGTCACATCACACTTAGTCTGGCCAAACTTCAGACATATCCAAAGATTTTCCAAACATCACAGGCTAGTCACCAGTCCATCTGCCAGTGCCGATGATTCATGATGTTTCTGGAAGAAGTCTTGAACCGTTTTGAACTGTCCGCACTTTCTTTTTCATTATTCTTCTGCAATCTGAGGCTTGGAGAGCTGGCTTCTGGAGCCTAGAATCTAGAAGCCAGCTACTTACAACACAGAAAGCAAACAAAGGCTCCCTTGTTGGTATTGTGGCCGGCTGGGGCTCAAAGCTGAAGGCCAAATGCCAGAGTTTCAGTCAGTGACAAACAATTCCTCCAAATTGCTGACCCGAACTGCGCAGCCAGACGCAGCCCGATGGCCACCGCCACCAAACTTCCTGCAGGTGAACAGGCGCCCGTCATCCCATGTCTGAGAGAATACGATATCAAACGTGTCTGCATCGATACGTCTGCGCAGAATACGTGACAGGTTGGAGCCTCACAACGCAAGTGCCAAAAATTGCTTTGTAAGAGACAGTCTTTGAATGCCAAAGCGGCCTGGCTATCTCGGAAACATCCGCAGCCGCGTCGTTCCTTCAGCAATGTCAGCATGGTAGATGACGCAAAACTGGTTAACTAGTTTAGGGAGCCAGATGGGCAGGAGTGCGCTTCACTATGCACTATCTTCACCATGTGGTAGCTAATCTGGCAACCAATGATGCGTGCAGGTGCTGAAACAAGTTGCTTGCCCTGCGGGAAGCATTTCTGCTACTTTCATGGCTTGTGTTCGGCCAACGTCCAGGCCAACATACACCGCATCTGCTCATACGCAGCATGCGCCACGGGAGGCCACTTTCCAAGGCAAGGCGCGAGCCAAAAAGACTTCGCAAAGAGATGCTCCAGGAACCTTCCTGGGGCGCAAACCAGGGCAGTTTGGTGCAACTAGCAGTCCAAAAGTCGGTTGAGTGAAGGCCGGTGAAGGCCAATACTTCTCCATCCACATCACTACTTCAAACAAGAGTGGATGGGCGTTCCTTAGAAGATGATGTCAAGCCAATACCTGCGGAACTAGGGCAAACTCTGGCTGATGCAGTATAATCATTTAGAGGCACAACAACATACAATTATAACATATGTAACATGTATGTAGATATAGTAGGTTGCAGTAGATTGTACAAAGCAAAGCATGGGTTCTTCAATCGAGCCTACGTTAGCAACTCCAAGCTTCTCCTGGCTTGAAGCCAGGCAAGTACTTCACACACATGACATAGCTCACGCCTTCCTCAACACCTCAGGCTTCGGAAGCAACAAAACAAAATCAATCAACAATGCCAATGCCCTGAGTATACGAATGCCAATGCTTGGCGTGCTGTTTTGGCCAATTCCCCCTTCACACCGTGAAACCATCCTTTTTGGCAACCTCGAGCGCCAATCGGAGCCACTCAGCCGAACAAGTCAAACTCCATCTCTTCCTCCTCTTCTTCCTCGACAACTTTCTTTTCCTCCTTGCGTCAGCACGTCACCATCAGGTTTCTTGTCCATATACTGGATCTCTAAAAAATCATTCATGAAATTCAAGTCCGGAAAACACAGAACCTGGAACCATCTGAAGCACGCGGACATTGGGCTCAGCTTCCTCAGCGACGATCCCCTCTCCTTTGCGGCACCGCCAGCATCCCCTCCAGCGGCTGCACCACCGCCACCGCCACCGCCACCACCGCCGCCGCCACCGCCGCCGCCGCCGCAAGCGGCAAACTTGCCAAAGCCAGCAGAGATCAGCTCGTTGGCCTGTCGAACTGATACGAAGCTTCTCAACAAGAACACATGCCAAAAACCGAGAAGTCTCACTTGTTGGACTTGATGTGTTCTGATGGGGATTTGCGGGGTTCCTGATGATTCTGGAGACTTCACTCCACCCCAATCCTGACAAAGAGCCAATTAAATGCCTTTCAACGAAATTGGGCATCTTCACCTGCTTCTGAACCTCCTGATGCCTAGTATACATGAAAAGCTCAAGCGGGTGCACCAAACAGTCACACAAGCATTGAACATTCTAACGGCGTCCGAAAACGCTTCCGGACTGGTCTTTAGGATTCTCCTGCTCCCAAGAAATCTCCTAACCGGCATCTGATAAATGCTGATGCATGCCAGCAGCAATTGGGGGATTCATATTGAACCTTTCTTAAGACACAAGCTTTGCTTCAGGCGTTCGGTTCGACCCCATTGGTTGGCTGCATCAAAAGCTACTAAGAAATCTAGCATCCCCATCCGCGGGGCAACCAAGAATGTGAAACCAATATTAGGCGCTTGCTTTCACGGGCCTCCTGGTGCAAACAGTGAGTACGCAAAATAATCAACAGCTTAATAAAGTGTGAAGAGGGGAAAAACCACGAGCACAAGGACTGACCAGTGACCTGCCCCTTGCCTTCTTGCCCTCCATTCGCTTGCACACTTCCTCAATCATCGATGTTTCATAGCTGATCCCACCAGCTTCCAAGATGGATTCGATGTCCTGGCTGAACAGGTCAACTTGGCAAGTGAGCAAGCAAAGTATTGAATGACTTGAGAGATGGGCAAACTGAGAACATGTGCCCTGCAAACATATTGATTGGTACAGTAAATCTCAGTGGATACATACGCGGTCAACTGCAGTCAGGTGCCCACATCAGCGAGTGCAGTCTCATAAGGGGATAGGAGGACATACATAGGAGGACAGCGACACGTATCAAGTCCGTACCAGCAAAGTTGTATACAATGGCCTCCAACCTAGAAGCAATGGCCTCCAACCCATGTTGGATTGCCTGGCCTCTGAGGGCAAAGACTCTCTTTAAGCAGTCCTTGGCGGTTGGTTCCTCTTTGCCTCCTAGCACTGCCATCAGATAGGCGCCCAAGTATTTCATCGCCATGGCTAGAAAATCCCCGTGTGGCCCACAGGTTGCTACTGCCGCTGTAGCCACATGGCCCAAATGCGACAACCTGCGCTTTCATGCTCGTTTTCAGTGGGGTTGGCACCAAACTTTTGTCAATAGAAAACCTTAGCTGCTTATCAAATTGTCCACGTGAAGTCCTCCTACCTAAGTAAGAATGCATATCAGGGTCAGTCAGGGACTGGGATGAAAGCTCCTGGGCCCGAAACCTCTCTTTGCCAGCTCGTTGCCTAGGTCGAGCATCAGTGAAGTGCACCGGCACAGTGTTATTGATTCGCGCCACAGGTTCCACAACGGTCTATATTTAAGCGAAGAACCATCAATCGAAAACCAATGTCTTGTCATCCACGCTGAATTTGGATGATCAGGGGCTGGAAACATTCGATCTGGTGACAATGTGATTGATTGGTGCACTGCGGCACGGGTGCACTTCTCACTCAGAGTGGGGCCTAGCTCGGAAGGCAAGACTGTCGCATTGACAACAAAGGCCTTTTGGTCCTTGGAAGGCTTTGCTGCACACGAGAAGAGCACCAAATGCCCGCAAAAGCCGTTCAAATCACTGGAACTGTTCACGCATGTTCACACCCTATCCCTGCAGGATCCTTCAACAAACGCACAAGGTCTGAACAATCGACCAATGGGGAGATGAGAGCTCAGTCTCTGACAGGAACAGCTTTAAGTCGTCTTACTTTCGCTGAGCGAGCCTGTGCCTGGGATTGCGTGGTCGGGTATGTATGACCCAAATCAAATCAATACTTGTGAGGAAGAGCTTCAACTCAAAGTTGAACACAAAACAAACCCCGCCTTGATCAAGGAATCTTGATAGGCAACAATGCTGGTGCCCCGAGTTAACATCGCCTTGGGCACCGGTCTTGCTATCTTATCGTAACAACAAATAGATAATATGAACGTAAAGAAAGAGACACCCCCAAAGCTATGCTTCAAAATCATACTGCCAGGAACCAACATACTTGCAATAGAGCAATGATATCGTGCACATCCACACGCACACGGTCACACTGGCATGCTTGGCTTCACTCCTTATCCGAATTGACATTGGATGAGCAATGCCCTTTGTTCCTAGTAGCGTCTTTGCTCCTAGTAGTAAGGCTAGGAGCCCCTGGCCCTAGTAACTTCTTGTTACTAGTAGCGTTGCCATCTTTGCTCCTAGTAGCGATGCCCTTTATTCATTGAATTCACGCGTGACATGGTTTTGCCCCCCTTGTGGGAGGCCTGCTTTGTCTATCTTTCGAGGCAAGCGTCGTCCAAACCTCGCTCTCCGCCCTTGTAAATCCTCAGCACACACCCAGGGATTGCTTCTCGGAACGCACTCATTGATGCAAGTGGAAGGCAGAACTTCGAAGCTGCAGCATGTTTAGCCACCTGGTATCATCATGGTGATATTCTTACGACCTTTCTCTATAGTAGTGACCATGGAGTGTTGAAGCGACGCGTTTTGACACGTCTGTCTTCTCCAAACGACCCCTGCTAATCTTTCTTCAAGCATCTGCATCCACGGCTTAAAGGCCAGGTCAGGATCCTCGAGAAGGCCCGGCGCAGGGATCGGCAACTCCAGCTCCTAGCGAAGCAAAGAGGAACATAAACAGTGCACAAAATGAACATCGGTGAAATTTTCCCGGCTTCATAGGCTCTAGCTCCTCCAGGTCTCTAGGATCCTAGAGTTACTTGTTGGCCTTGGAGGTGATCGACATGAACAGTAACAACTTCTTAGTCGTCGCAGCGTGGCACTTCTTTGGCATCTAAAAAGGCACTGGACACGCCCAGAAATCCACCAAGCTCCTCAGCAAGGCTCTACTGACTCTGGCAGCCCAAGGGTTTGACTCGAGAGCATGCCAAGCAAATCATCGGCTATACAATAAAATCACCAAAGACCACAGCCACTGAAACGGTACAACCGTGGAACGGGCTGCGCAACAGGGCGTGCAATCTGGTCACTTCGTGGCTCATGACTGACTGCAACTGCCCGTTCAAAACCGTCACTGCATTTTGTGAAACATATCAATCTTGGGTGAACCCAGGTTCCTGGATAAAGAGATCAAAGATCGGTTCTGCCTTCGGCCCTACCCAGAAAAATGCTCAAAGAGTGCTCATCTTCTCCTGAAGAGGTGCCGGTGAGTCCGAACAGAAAATGAAAAGCTGCTGCCGTGCCAGGAGGGTCACGTAGTGTGGGGTCTGCCCTTCTGACACGTTCCAGCGTTTGGAACCACTCTGCCCAACATTACTCACAAGCGCCCATTGCTTCAGGTGATCCACCATGAAATCACACAGAATGCTGCTAAACTTTCCAAAGTTGGATTCGCCGTGCAAGTTCAGCCCAGTGACCCGAAGGGCATTGCTGGCAAGCAAGAGATCACAAAAACCTTGTGGGCCCACATTCTCACATAGCATGATCTCTGTGAGATGTGACAAGAGCTTTTCATAGACCCCATTGGTATTTTGACCTGAAATCTGAACAACACAAGTGTAGTCCCTCTTGATAGACTGAGGCAGCACCCGAAACTCTACAGCCAAAGTGGAGGTAGGTGAGGGAGCTTGGTTGCGTTGTTTGGGTCGAGCGAAGACCAAATGCTGCTCATGCCTCTTGGCGCCACATTGATGATTATGCTGCATGCCACTGCAAGAGCGCAGTACCCAACCTTTTCCGCTCATCCACTCTGTGACCTCGACAGTCCGCCTGCCAAGGTTTGTATTGTTGGCCTCGTCAACGACAAAGAAACCGGCTGCGCCCACATACTGCGCATCACAAAGGTTCTCCGGGCTGCAGGCCTGACAACCCCGTTTCAAGAAGTAGCCCTCGGCCTCTCTCAGCCCCTCCTTGGCCCCATTCAAATAGATTCGCCCAGCATTTCTGAGCTCCACAATGACATGAGCATGGAAGCCCAAAGAATCTCTCCGGAAGAGCATGTTTCGCTCTCGCCCTTGTCCGTCCTGACCTCTGTCTGACTCGGTGTGGGACACCAAGGACCATCCACATGTTTGGGCCATGAAGTTGATGATGCCAGCTGCTCCGCGACCCATGTTGTTGTCTCCAGAGCTGGAGACCGCATGGGAAGGGAAAGCAAAGGTTGCCTGAAACTTTCGATCACAAAAGATTTCGTTGGCCTCCAAGCGACTGCATCCCAGGGCCTGCTGAACATATTTACTCAATTGATCCAGAATGCCCTCAGCGTTCGCTCCAACCAGCTCTATGTACCCCGTCTGCCTCATCGTGACCATCATGAAAGGGCCCAAAGTGCTTTTCTCATGAGGCGCTCGAAAGGTGAGCTGCGACTCACGGAATCTCGTCTCGAGGTTCTCCATGCTACACGACAGCAGCTCGCAATGAAGCTCATTCATGAAGTTGATCAGGGACAGCGTGAGCTTCGCCATGTTGCTCTCACCTTGCCAACCTTGTGAATGAAAGACACCGTTGCCTTGGACGCTGCCATCGGTCAATTGCTTCCCAAACACAAGGTGCTTGTCACAGGTGTAGTCCATGGTCTCCCGTGGCAGGTTGGCCTCGCCTCTGGTCTGCCAACAGCAGGCCCCACTTGGCATAACTCTTCTGCCTACCAGCACTGCATCGTCGGCCTGCCACTTGGACTTCAGAAAACTTTCCAGTTTCCCCCCGGGGTCTGGCCCACAAAGCTCCAAGTAGCCAGAGGAGCACAGTCGCAAATGGATATGGGGAACCTGAGTCTTCTCATTGAAGCTCTTCAAGATGGGTTGCTGTTGTCTGAAGATTGCCAGTCCTGTAGACCGTTCGGTATCCAACTCCTGTTGAGAGTATGCCACAGTCTGGCCCATGACTGACTATCTCATAAGCACGCCCGAGAGTTTGAGCCAGGCAAGCTACCCACTCGTACGTGCCCGATCAGGCAGCATCCAACAACACACAAATACCATTGGCTAAGTAAGTGGCTATACCGATAAGTGACAGTCATTGGTCCTGTCATGTGCTTCAATTCGTGTCTATTGTGATGCTGAAGTTCATGCGGTTGCCCTTGTACCGGCACATCGGCTCGCATTCGCTGCTGCCCGGACCTGAGCTGCTGAGAACTCCTTGGAGCGTTTCATGGTCCAGCGCCAAATGTCCTCAAAACCGCTGCGTGTTCCGCCGCCATCGGGGAAAGCAAACACAATAACATCCACATGGGGCGGCGCTTCTTGTTACTAGTCGTATGAATGCTCCTAGTAGCGATGCCAGGAGCCCCTAGTAGCGTCCTTGCTCCTAGTAGTAAGGCCAGGAGCACCTAGACGCGGGATTCAACAAGCCACAAGCAAATCATTCAGGCCAAATGCTGTACTGGCCACCTTATCCTCGATGTAGCGGAAGAGTAATGGGCAGCTCTGCTTTGTAAACTGCCCATGGAAGAAGTCCCAGGAAAGGGTTGCCTGAGATCAACATGGACTCAAAGCCCCCCCTCAAGAGTTCTAAACTAGACAAGAACACGCCCCGTCTTTCGGGTCTCTTTCTTGTGCCTCAAGTCCAAGAGGCTCCCGACATCTTCATTTCAAAGACCTCACAAGTCCGTCAGCGTTCCAGTAACATGTTGCACCCCAAAAAGGTATTCAGGCGGTTGCTTCCTCGTTCTACAGGACCAAAAAGACTAATTAATATTATGTTATTATATTACATTACATTATATAATTGTTTGATGATGTTTGATGTATTATATACTTTGCCGGGACTTGAGCAGGCCGGGTCGTCCATGCGGTCTCCTCGGCCCCAAATTACCTCTCTGCGGTCATTTCCTGCCCCAGGCCCCCCCCCACTTTGCCTTGTTCTCTTCGGGGAAGGTGGCAAGTGCTTCTTGCGCGCTAGCATGGTGATCCAGCACAATCACACCCTGATTCAGGGCTCTATGTGTGTTGTCATAGTGAGGGTATGCTGAGAATCTCTCTCTCTCTCTCTCTCTTCCAATACCGTACGTTACTGTCCACAATGCAAAGCATAAGCACTGTACAAAAGGAACAAGTATCATCAATGAACCGAACTTGAACAGGTCGTGGTCGTGGTGCTGTGTCATATGAGCACATGTCCAAAGCCCACAAGTCACAAGTTGGCTCTATCCCCTCTCCTTGGCTCTTCGCCGAAGCTCCTCCATCGTGTCTTTGTCCTGTCCGCAGCGAGTTGATGCCCCATGTCGAACGCAATGGGCACTCTCATGCAGCTCACTTCAATTTTCACCTACAAAATCACAAAGATTCGAGCCTCTAGAGCTCTGCAAACTGCAACAGGATTGCTTTTTGACAAATGGATGCAAATGGTGACTTTCACAAAGCTTCTATTGGTGCTGGCTCATGTATGTCATGTGTGAAGGCAATCATACATAAAGCAAGGCGCAAAAGAGAAATCCACGATGGCTATAGTCTTCCCATCTACATTGGCCGGCAACCGCTTGTTGCCTCGGTTTCCACCCGTCGACAAGGCATGGGTCGGCTCACGGCAGCATGGGCCCCACTCAATGACAGTCGGTAACCGCTTCTTGTTACTAGTAGCGTCTTGTTACTAGTAGCTACTCGCTCCTAGTAGTACGGCCAGGAGCCCCTAGTATCGTCCTTGCTCCTAGTAGCGGTGCCAGGAGCCCCTAGTAGCGAACCTTGTTCCAATGGCCAATGTGCACATTCTTCGCACTTCTGCATGTTACAAACAACGTACATTGATTCAAATCGTAGGTAAGCCAGGAATCCGTGGCCAATGCCGACGTACTCACAGTCTTTTCCTCGACGAAGATATGCCTGCCACCAAAATGTGCCCAAGCAACAGCCCAGCCCGGCCCATGTTCAAAACAAGGCGGAAATCCAATCCATTCTACACTCCACACCGAACTTACTCAGTTCTTTGTCAGTTTTGTTGCTTAACCGCTTGGCCCAGGTGCAGCAAAGGCTGCGGCGAAGCCATCTGGACAGTTCCCATGGAAGATCACCTGCAAAGCAACAAGGATGGAGATCTTCCATCGCCAAATGTTCTGCGCTCGGTGGCATCTTTGGTTGCAAGGCTGGAAAGCTGCCGCTGAAGATCCAGAGCACTTAATATGGAAGCTAGTAGCAAGAAGCTACTAGGTGGAGGCCATCATAGGCCATCGCTCTTAGCTTGGAGGCCATCGCAAGTAGGTTGGAGGCCATCGCTACTAGTAACAAGAAGCTACCCTTTAAGTTGGTGAGAAGGCCAAGATGGGCCAAGATGGTAGCCGCAGAGCCTGCTTTAGGCCAAGCCTACGGAGCATAGACATAGACCAACCCTTGAACACAACAGCAAAACATCTGCTGAGGGCGTACCATGTCAACCTGGTCGGGAATGACAGCTTTCTCCTTCAATGGCAAGCTCGAGAGCAGGCTGCCTTCTTTTCCCGCCAAAACGCCGACCTAAGCATCAAACCAATCTTGAGCCTTTTTCCTACTCAAGCCTTCAACCGGTGTTGCTTCATGGCACATGCAAAGCAGCAACAGCCTCATGCTTCACTCCGCGACTCCTTGCAGCTGTATTCTTACAACTTACTCCCAGCATCTCCCAGCTACGCAAGAAAAACACCTAGACTTAAGATTTGTCAGGTAGGCTGATACACATTGCATGCAGAAAAACATTCAAGAGCAAAGCGATTGCTTCAGGTAATTGACAATCCAATCTCAGAGCGGCGCATCATAGCTACCCCAAAGGCTCCAGCCTTGGCCACCCGGTCACCCAAAAAGAACCCAAGAAACTGTGAACGCCTCAAAATGCGAAGGGAAAGATAAAGTGATTAAAACATATTAAAACGTAATGCAAATTCAATGGCGCTAGCTTGGAGTAGGTGTGAAGAACGATGGAGACCAGTTGCGGTCGGAAACACACTATACTCTAAGTAATAATATGATATAAGTAGGGTCTATCCTAATACCTGTAACAGTGGACGATGATGGTTAGTAAAGGCCTTGTTCAAGAATAGTGATAACTGTTTACTGACTGCTACAGGTAATAGGACAGACCCCAGATATAAGAACCTATCATTACCTATCTGCCTATTCATGTTCACACCTGAGCAGTTCAGCATCTGGGCTGCCCATTCATTTGCTCTCCTTCTGCTCCCTTGCTCCGACATAGCTTGCCACCACCAACGCGGAGGCAGGACCTTCAGCGGACCCCAATTGCCGGAGAATCACTCCGCCGTTTGTCAATCTTACAGAGTTTAGTCGGGCCTTATCATCCCGTACTTTCTTTGTCTTTCACTTTCTTGTGTGAGATGCTTTTGTTCATAAACAATCTCTTCACGAAAACAAGGAGCTCCGGTGAGGGATAGAGCCGTGCAAGACCCGGAATCAAAAGAAAAAAAAAAACAAACAGAAAAAGAGATACATCAAACGTGTTCAAAAAAGAGGAAATCAAATGACTTTAAAGCACCCTCAAATGTAGTGTGATGTAGTTAGTGGCATGGGCTGCATTGGGCTGCAGCTGGGGGTTGCAACTTGAACGCGTGCAGGCCAGGCTGCTGAGATCTACACCGAGCCATCTAAAGTCTTTTCAGGGGGATCCGCATTTGTTCCTGCGACTCATGTGCAACAAAGCAACGAATCCTAGGTCCTAAGGAGTCCTTGGTGTCAACGAGTCAAGCAATGGCCACTTCTGTAAAACGTGGCGGCTGACAACGGGGGGGCCCAATACTAATAGCTTCTTGTTACTAGTAGCTACTTGCTCCTAGTAGTAAGGCCAGGAGCCCCTAGTAGCGTCCTTGCTCCTAGTAGCGATGCCCTTTGCTCCTAGTAGCGAACGTTGCTACTAATAGCTTTTGCAAAACCTCCACAGCCATTCCAACCAATTTACCCCCCCTCATCCATCCAAGCAGCGGTAATGCAGTCCAGCACTGAGGGGACGAAAAGTTCGCCAAGCGCACCTAAGCTTGCCATGTGTAATGAGGAGGGTGGTGCCACTGAACGAGAGCAATGTTCTGAAGGCGAAATCATGACCGGCACGCTTGCACCAGCCCATTGGTGAATCATGTGAATCACTTCTTACTAATAGGTCATTAATGCAGTGCAGCGGGTGAGCGTGACTGGGTGTAATGTGGTGTTTTCGGGTTGGGCTGCACTCGGTGCGCTGCATTGCACTCGATGCGCCACTCGGTGCGCTGCACTCGGTGCGTTGCACTCGGTGCGTTAGGGCCGTTAGGGATGTTGCACTCGAAGCGCTGCGATGCACGCTGCACTCGGTCCGCTGCACTCGGTGCGTTGCCCTCGGTGCGATGCACTCGGTGCGCTGAACTCTCGGCGCTGCACTGGGTGTGCTGCGATGCACTCGGTGCGCTGAAGTCGGTGCGTTACACTCGGCGCGTTGCAGTAGTAGTAGTGAAGTACTAGTACTAGTACTATAGTAGTAGTAGTAGTAGTAGCAGCAGCAGCAGCAGCGGTAGAAGCAGTAGTAGTAGTAATAATAAAAAAAGTAGTAGTAGTAGTAGTCGTCGTCGTCGTAGTAGTAGTAGTAGTAGTAGTAATTGAATAATAATAGTAGGTTGCACTCGGTGCGTTGCACTCGGTGCGCTGCACTCGGTGCGCTGGGTGGTAGTGGTGGAGGTGGTGGTAGTAGTAGTAGTAGTAGATAGGTTACACTCGGTGCGTTGCACTCGGTGCGTTGCACTCGGTGAGTTGCACTCGGTGCGCTGCACTCGGTGCGCTGCACTCGGTGCGTTGCACTCGGCGCGTTGCACTCGGTGCGCTGGTTCTCGAGTAGCGTCAGTCGCTGATCGCCGCCGCAATGCATTAATGGTTTATCATGAGGTTGCGGTTCAACAAGGCTGAATGTGTTTTCAACGGTTTCAGTTGTGGTCCGTTGAGGTTGCCGAAAGCTGACAGCTTCAGTTGGTCAACGCTCCTGACACTGCTGACATCGCCTGAAATCGATCATATCCCTCTGCACCATACCCAGGATCAATGCAACCATGCCACATGTTCGGAAGGGGTCCGCAAAGCAAGACGCCACAAGGCGCAATTTGCTTTCGCTTTCACTGATGTGATATGATATGATATATGATACATGTGAGTTGTTATATAGATCAGAATTGACGAGAATCCCAGGGCTGTTTCTGTGTTGCGTTGCAGTGCTTAGAGCAATTGTCGTTTTGGCTGGAAGCCCAAATGCCTATACTCTAACAACCAATGCTTCCCAATTCGCCCAATCCAAACAAATCCATGATAAGAGCAGTTGGGAGGCACACCCAGCCTAAATTATTGCCAGTGTGCCACGACTTCCCACCCTTCAAGAGTTGTGAGCAACATAGTAACCCAACTTATGGGAACAGTAGGAAACCCTCTATATAATTATATACATGTCATAGTCTTGCCTCTGCCAAAAGATGTGTAAGTGGTCTTTGTCCCATTTTTGGGGATATCGACCGCTGATCTCTTTCTCTTTGTTCCTTCGTTCTTCACTTCACTTCCCAATTTGTTCCTTTTCTGCCTGCCCGCCCCGATGTCAAAGATGCCCAGCCACCCAAAGCTGTCAAGAGCTTTGCTCTGTCAATGCCTTGACGCTGCCGAGCAATGCGTTGCTGTGTTGGCAATGAAAGATTGCCACAATTATCATTATCATCCTTTGCGGGCTACTCCCTAGGGACAGCCCAACGGATTGCAAATTGAAATGGGCTAAAATTCTTTGGCTCTTGAGTTGGATGCCATCAGGCACTTTCACGTCCGGTGGAATGCCACTGCAACTGATTGGCGATATTCTTTTAGTCTTGATTTGAGCTGCAAGTACAGTACAGTAGAAAGGTCGCCTAGCTCCAGGCTGGAAAGCAAACTGGCATCGGATTGGAAATTCTTAAGCAGCAAGGTCACTGCTGATTGCAAGCTAGTCCTTAGACTAGAGCAGGGCCTTCTTCAACTATTCTCCTCCTTCTCGACGAAGTGTTCGAAGCACTCTTTGATCTAATTGATGCATCTGCATTCTGGTTTCAGCCAGAATTGGACAAGCCTCGACATGACATATCCTCCGTCTACGTAGCTGAGAGGTCGTGCAGCCTATGTGGTGAACCGCCTGTCTAATCTGAGTGAGGCAGTACATCAAGAAAATGTCAATTTGCAACAAATGCATCTCTCAGCTCTGATAGACACTGATAGATGACAAACCCTGACACGTGGGAAGAACAATCTCATGATATTTTTTGTTTGATCACCTGAGCAGCTGGTTTTCACACTAGCTTTCCGAAGAAAGGTGCAAACATGTGAACATGCATTGGGGAAAGCTTGTGACTGTGGGCTAGAATTCCTTTTCCTGGTCTCACGAGCATGTTTGATTGCCTTGAGCTGGAGCTTGATGGAGAAGGCGTTGGGATTGTGGATTAGCGCCGAGATGCTTGCGTGGATATGTTTGGTTTCCCTTCAGCTCAATATCAATCCAATTTTGGATGTCTACCTTTCCCTGTAAACAGTTTGAAGTGTTTTGCGAGCTTTGCCCTAGCCTTGGCACTTAGTTTGTTTCCTCGAAAGCTGCCATTTGGGAGGAGCCCGGGCGCTGGGCAAACAGTTGGAGACTCGTGGAGACATCTGGCCATGCATTGGCTGCAACAGTTTGACTTATCAGCAAACTGATTGAGAATGGGGCAAATGGCACTGACAGTCGTGTTTGATTTCTCAGCACAAAGTGCACAAATGAAGCAATGCCTGGTCGCGCCGAGCCCCTCCTGGTGCTGGAAGGCAGCTCTGCAGCACTGAAGCTTTGTCAACTACACAGCCACCCCCACCTGCGCCAAACCTTTCGTGAATGGAACTTCTTGCACAATAATAGAGAACCTTTGAGAGTGATTTCAGCACGAAAAACGAGCATCTCCCGCTGAATAGGCCACGGTCACTCAAAGAAAACCATCGCGTTTCTTCAGCGGGCTCAATGGTCACCAACCAGCATCGGATGCTCTGGAAACAAACCACAATCGGCCCTTCGCATGCCCAAATAGGTCTAATTACACATCTGTTTGCTTGGCTTTTCCAATGTAAACTGGAGACTTTTTGTATCTCTTTGTTCTATGTCAACCTCATTACCCTCGAAAAGGGAAGTGCCTGTCTTCTTTTGCGAACCTTGAGCTTCAAACGTAAAAAGGTCTGGCATCCCGCGCGCATCTACCGATTCTAGGCTTGCTCAGTGGTCCAAGTGTAGCATGCCTCAACTTCTCGCACACGGTTCGAAGTGCTCCGTTCCCGTTATATACTAGTTACTAGTAGCTTCTTGCTACTAGTAGCGATGGCCTCCAACCTAGTAGCTTCTAGCTACCTGCCTCATGCAAAGGTCTCCCGTTTCAAGATTCTTGGCTTGAGTGGCTTCCGAATGACTCAATCTGATCAATCAGCAGGGCTTCGTAGCACAAGCATGCACAAGCTAGACATGGTCGTTCTCGTCTTCGGTTTGCATGGCAGGCGTTGCCTGTGGCGGCCTAGCGCTTGCACCACTGAAGTGCGAAGCTGCCGCACACTGTGAGGACTATGGGGTTCAAATTGCAATGTGTTTTTGCATCTTTTTCGACTGTTTTTTTGGGGGGCCTGTAGGGAGAGATGTGAAGAGTTTGTCAGGTGCTTGATGCGCACAAGGATGCACAAGTCAAGATGGAAGACGTAGGGCCGAAGCATTCATCCTGAGACAGAAACACGGCAATGGCACCAAAATACCTTCGCAGCTATGACGTTCTGTGCTCTTCGTTTATTGCACATGGCTGGTTTTGGGCACAGTGCAACTCACCTCATCTTAACTCAAAAAAAACCATGTCACAGATCGGCTCCCCACACAGGATGCTCACCGCGTGTTGAGGCAGCCAGAGGCAGCCCATCGCTAAGTTGAGCCACAGCCAATCAGTTGGCCACATTCCTACAGGATTTGCAGACTATATAGAACTGGTAGCTGTCATCGGCAAGCTCATGCAAATTACCGCAATGTCAAAAAAGTTGAGCTCTTGGGCTCCCACTTTTGTGCGAGATCAAGATCTTCAAGCGTGTCGCTCTCACAGAATTAGCCCAAAGCGAAGTGGGGCATCGCGGCGCAACGGCATAGCGGAGCTGAAGCGGAGGGGGGTGGTCACTTGGACCATGGAAAAGGTTTTGACCGACTCAACTGGAGGCACCATGGAACTTCGAAGATCCACAAGGGACATGAAGCCGCACGGCTTGTGAGGGCTCGTTTTGCGGCCAGAAACTGTGTTTCAAGAGATGGGACACCTGATCCACCGCCATTGAAGCTGTTGAAGCCGAAGGTATGGCGGAGAAAAACATGCCCACAGTGAATGGGCACAACCCCCCCCGCGACAATAAATGCCAAAGCCCCATTGCCAACTGAGATGCACAAACGCCTCCCAACAATCTAGTCGCTCAAAACTCTAAAACAAATCGTGCAAACGTCAGAGACGCCAAAACGATCTGCCTCTTCGAGCAACAAGTGCAATGAACAACCTGACGGTCGGCACAGCAGTGTGCGTGCAGGGTATCATCATGAGTTTGCATCTGTGAGGGCATCATGAGAAGTGGTGGCATTCTGGTTTAGTCTGCGGAACTCTGCTCATTGCATTGCAAATGGCGCCAAACCAATGATGATGGCGCTTAACAACACATATGTTGTGAGCATCGAGTCCACACAAACGCTTCCACCAAACTGCCATCTGTGGCTACTGGTCTCCACAAGTGAACCCTCAAAAAGAAAAGGCCAAGCGAGTTCGGCAATACTTAGTGGGCATCACATTCTGCACATTTGCGGCTCCTCATCAGGTGCTCCTATCGTTGGGACGGTTTCAGCATGTGGCCGAATTAGCACCCAACCACCTTGGACAGTGGAGAGCAAGCTTTGATCCACCAAGGACTTCACCCAATTCAAGTTGGCCTCGTCCATGCTGCAAGGGAATTCTTGGTTACCAAGGTGGGGTTGGCTGGGTAATGAGTACATGTGCATTCTACCCTCTATGGCCAGCCGCAGTGTCCGCAAGGTGCTTAGGTTAGCCCTGTCCTCTGATCTCTGCACGGCCAACGAGACAAAACAAGTCAGAGGAAGAGTAAACCAAGCTAAGGCTAAGTATATTCTTTAGAAGCGCTGTTGATTTCTAAACTAAAGCTGGCCACTTGATCTCCAAATCTCACACTATTGCTCTGCATGGGGCTTCAACAAAGGATCACCCTGCATCAAAGCAATCTGCCATCACAATGATATCTGGACTCCACGCCGCTTCGCTGAGAACAAAAAGTGACGGCTGCCGCGCCTCAGTTGAAATTCAGGCTTTTGCAATCAGTGTTGGTAGCTCATTGCGAGCTTCAGCTTGAAGGCGAGTGTGTGCCAAGCAGGGGAACTTCGCACAGCTGCTCCGCTTGGCAGTCAGAGTGATGACAAAGGAATCAGCAAGGCCAAGACTGCCGATGAGACTTGAGACTTGCTGTTAAGGGTGCATCTTGGTTTAGCCCACTGCAGGGCATCTCTGATCTAACATCAAATGAACTCCACAAAATGTATCCTGATTTGGGGGTTGTCACGGGGTTGTCCAAGAATCAAGTGTCCGGGAAACCAGCCAATTGCCGGCCTTCTGTTTTCCGATCGCAGTTGCACAGGTGCCAATTGTTTGGCAAGTCTGGCGTCTTATTGCCAAGGCAATTTTAGGATGTGATAAATCCATATGCCATATGTCGATTTTTTGGACTTGCGATTCAGGCGGATGGTGCTCAAAACCGATGTTGCATTGTCTAAGTGGAAATTACAAATGTTTGCGCAAAAAACTTTCCCAAACCTTGCGCGAATGCAAAGTGAGCTTGCACGCGGGCATTTTTTGACTTGAGATTGCACAAACCTTGCGCGAATTAGTTGTGGGCCCAAGCGCATAAATTCCACCGCTGGCCCAACCCAATGGCCACCCCTCTTGAACCCAGTTCAAACGGGAAAGCGAAATGGCAAGATATGGCAAGGAGGGGCGAAGGTCTAGGCATAAGGGGTTGGGAACATTGCTGCCCGATCGTGGAGCAATCGCCGATTTCAAAATAGAACGACGG